TAAATATAAACCAGATTATTCTTTTTTTTTTAAAAGATCAGATTATTCTAAAATTTAAATGAAAAGACATATGAATTGGAATATATAGAGTCATTTTGATAAAGAATAACAAAGTGGGAGGAATCACTCAACCCAATATCAAGATTTACAGTATACAATAATAAAAGCAGTGTGGTATTAGCAGAAACTGGCCCTTGGATCAATGAGACAAAACAAAGAGCCAGAACTAGATTCACATAAACATGCCCAACTGATTTCTGAGGTATAAAACAAGTTCAGTGAAGGAAAGACCGCTTTTTCAACAAATAGTGCTAGAGCAATTGGACACTACAGGCAAACAAAAACAAAAAATCCTCTACCTCAGTATTATACATTATAACTCAATAGTAATATCTCAATCATATCATATTTGATACAATCATATAACAGCTCAAAATGTATAACATAAAACTCTAAAACCTGTGGGAAAAAAAACAAAGGAAAAATTTGGGGGATTTAGAGCTAGGTAAAGCGATCTTAGAGTTGATACCAAAAGCATGATTCATAAAAGAGAAATCTGATAAATTAGATCTCATCAAAATTAAAATCTTGGTCTACAAAAGGCTTTGTTAAGAGGATGGAAAGACAAACTACCGACTAGAGTAAAATCCCTGCAAATCACATATCTTGCTAAGGACTGATATCTAATATATATAAAGAACTCTCAATATTTAACAGCAACCCCCCCCAACACACACATAACCCAATTAGAAAACAGACAAAAGATAAACAGACATTCCACCAAAGTAACTATATGGATGGTCAATAAACACATAAGAAAATCAATGGTTCCAAGAAAGTTCAAAAACCAGCGGAGCAAATTCCATTAGTTTTTAAGGCCTGACAGTAATCCCTTGTGTTCTGAGACTCTACCCTCCAGGTTGGGTCTCTGCCCTCAAAGTCCATGGCTCCAAGGTCATTCTTCCTTTTTTCTTTTCTTTTCTTTTTTTTTTTTTAAAGATTTTATTTATTTATTTGTCAGAGAGAGAGAGAGGGAGAGAGAACGAACACAGGCAGAGTGGCAGGCAGAGGCAGAGGGAGAAGCAGGCTCCCCGCAGAACAAGGAGCCCGATGCGGGACTCGATCCCAGGACGCTGGGATCATGACCTGAGCCGAAGGCAGCGGCCCAACCAACTGAGCCACCCAGGCGTCCCCATTCTTCCTTTTTTCTTGAAGGGTAATGCATGTTTATAGTTGAGTGTCTCTATCAGCCCATTTCCTGCCTGTAGAATTTTGGAAACCTGACAGCCTTGTTATTTCATCCTGTCTCTGTTTTTGTCAGTCCAAGCTAGCAGTGTTTCTGCTGATACAAAATTTGGAAAGACCTTGTGGGTTGTGGGTCTTCTTTATTTGTCAAAGGAATCCGCACAATTAGGAGGCAGGACAAACTGCCCACACTCAAGAAAACCAACTAACCAACCAACCAAACAAAAAAACCTCCAAAACACCACTGTTGGGAAACCATCTCTATTCATTTCTGAGATGGTTGATTGGATCCATGAGTCACATACCTAATCTCTTCAGCTAAAGTTGTCCAGGGGTGCCTGGGTGGCTCAGTCAGTTAAGCAGCTGCCCTCAGCTCAGGTCATGATCCCAGGGTTCTGGAATCGAGCCCCCACATCAGGCTCCTTGCTCAGCACGGAGCCTGCTTGTGCTTGCTGTCTCGCCACCCCCGCTGCTTGTGCTTGCTGTCTCGCTTGCTTGCTTGCTCCTTCAAATAAATAAATAAAATCTTAAAAAAAAAAAAAAAGTTGTCCAGGCAGACTGTCTCTCCAGAGCTTTCTCCAGTTAATCTCCTAATTTCAGCATCCTTTGCAGTTTGGATAGGCTGAGAATTCCCCTAAATAATCAGGACTTCATTTCCTTTCTGCATACTAGTTCCTTTCTCTATTTCTCTTTTCTTTCACATTCTACTATAAGCAGCAAGAATACACCAGGCCCAACCTTCAACATTTTCCTTGGAAATTTTCTCAGCCAAGTATTCAAATTTATCACTTCCAAATTTGCTTTTCACACAACTATAAAACACAATCCAGCCAAGTTTTTTACTATATAATACGAATCATCTTTCCACGTTTCCAGTAATAGTTTTCTCATTTTCTTTTGAGCCCTCAATAGAAACACTATTACATGTTAATAGTAGTGACATTCTACTCACGAGAATATATGTATCCGTTAAGAAAATAGCTTTCTCAGTCTTGCTCTTTTCTTCCTGAGCCTATACCTTACCATCCCTAAGCCTAACAGTCTGTTTAAGGCAATAGAGTCTTTTTTAATCATGTGGCTTAAAATTCTTCCAGCCTCTACCCATTGCCGAAATTCACTTCCACATTTTTAGATGTTTGTTTTAGCAGAGCCCCATTTCCTGGTACCAAAATATGTTAATATCCTGGAGCTACCATAAAAATCACAAATTTGGTTAAAATGCCAAGAAATTGTATAAAGTGGCATACTTATAAAATTAAATTGAATGGACTTGATTTTAAATGGAAAAGTTAAAAATTATAAAATTAAAAAGAGAAAAATCATACAGAAAACTTGGCATCTGCCACTTCTTTAAATTTTTGCAAGGACATTTCAAGTAGGGTAACTTTTTATGGCCAAACATTTGCATAGTATCTTTTTTGCTCCTTCCCTCCTTAGCCAACTCAAGATATTTACATTCTAGGGATTTGCATGAAGAGGGCTTACTATAGGATTAGGAGTAAGGGAAATGCAAAATGTGAAATATAGTTTTAGGATATTTGCTGTTTGTCCTAGGATGCCAAAGGAGTCTGGGACTGGCCTACCTGTTTTTAAAGTTTCCATGACAATGAATACAGTAGTAATGTGTCTCTCTCTTCTAATAACACTCCATTCCATCCCCTTCTGTAAGTGATACATATTTTGATGGGTATAGTAACTATGATAGGAGAGTAGAAATTGGGGGAGATCTTGGGAAATAGCTAAAAGTGTAAATATGTAGAGATTCCCAATGATTACTATACAAATTCTTTTGACTTGTTTATGTAACTTCCTATATGGAAATTCTCTTAGGTAGGAAAGCAGCCTAGTCATCTGTAAGTTCAAAACACTGTCCATTAGTACACAAGATTTTCTAGTACCTCATACACAAGACCTATTAAAACATGATTATTATGTACCATGTATAGCAATAAAATAAGTATATGCATATAATGCTCTACTGCAAACAAAACATGGCTATTTCAGGACATAATTAGTAAACCAAGAGGCAGGATAGCACATGTAGGAATGCTAGATAATTTCTATTTTTATGACAGCCACAGAAATGCATAGCAGAAAAGAAACAAATGAGAGTAAAATATCCAAGAGAAAGTGACTCACACATTCCCAACATCTTTGGTCAGTTGAGGCTAGAACAGATTCAGTTATACCGTACCTCCCCACTCACTACATACCCAAGAAAAAGGATAGACTTATATCCTTAATTGTTAGCATATAACAGTATTTATTCACATACAAATATAGATATATTCAAATGAAACAATTATTAGATTCTCATATTTATGAATATAGATGCTATTACTTACCTTTTTATTCTAGTATGTTCAAACTGCCCACACTAAAAAAAACAAAAACAAAAACAAAACAAAAAAACCCAAAACCTTAAAAAATCCCAAATCCTTCCAAGTATAAATAGCTACCAATAAATTCCACAGTGTTCTGTCTGGCCAGACAAGGCATTATATTTTCTATGATCTTTTCAAGTCTGAATTTGTATCATGTCTGATTTTCCTTATTACCCACTTTTTTTTCCTCTCAAATTATCTGCAAGCCTTGAACAAGCATGTTTCCATTTATTATCCACTGGCAACTGGTATCCCTTTCTGTAGACAGCCTCAACTGGGGGACAGGGGAAGCTTATTTAGATTTCCACTGCATTTTATTATACACAGTAACAATGTATACAATAAATATGTTATAATCAGGGGCCTTCAGTAACCCCGTTCAAGGTGCTGTTGAATTTACTACTTTCACAGAAAGGATGCTATAGATGTTACTGTTTTAGCAGACTTCCAATTCTCAAACATCACAATCCCTCCAATGATTTTTTTAAAAAAGATTTTGAGAGAGAGAGTGAGCGAGAGCAACAGAGACTACAAGTGAGGAGAAGAGGGAGAAGCAGGCTCCCCGCTGAGCAGGGAACCCAGTTCGGGGCTCCATCCTAACACCTTGGGATCATGACCTGAGCCAAAGGCAGGTGCTTAACCAACTGAGCACCCAGGCGCCCCTCCAGTAATTTTTGAGAATTTCAGATATCCGCATTTCCTGAGATCGAGGTATAAAGGCTTACTTATATATCTATTTCATAGTTCTATGTGACTTATTCTCCCAAATTTTATTCATCTATGTCACTTCTTAACTTCCCTTTCTCTGGTATGAATTCTTTGATGTTGAATAAGGTGTAAGTTATGGCTAAAAGTATCCCTATAATAATGACAACTATAGGATTCCCTCCAATATGAATTCTCTGGTTATGTGTAAGCCACAGCTAAATAGTCTTTTTAAATTTATTACACTCATATATTCATGTTTAACAGTCTTCTTACAATTACATTATATGGATTTTTAAAAATAATTCTCTAGGGGCGCCTGGGTGGCTCAGTGGGTTAAGTCCTCTGCCTTCAGCTCAGGTCATGGTCCCAGAGTCCTGGGATCGAGCCCCACATCAGGTCCTCTGCTCCGCGGGGAGCCTGCTTCCCCCTCTCACTGTCTGCCTGCCTCTCTACCTACTTGTGGTCTTTGTCTGTCAAGTGAATAAATAAAATCTTTAAAAAAAAAATAAATAAATAAAAATAATTCTCTAGTTGGATGACTGCTAAAGACCTTTTCCACATTGCTTACAATCAGAGCTGTTACTCTCCAAGTGAATCATCTCATAGTAAGAAAGGTCTGAGATATTTGGCAGTTATCTACCATAGCTGAAAAAACTTGCATACACCCTTGGTCTGAGTAATTCATCTTAATATAAGATTAACAGAAATATACACACAAATGAATATTTATAGCATTTAAGCAGCATTTTTATTACAACACAAAATTATAAAAAATACAAATATCCATCAAAAGGATAAATAGTGGTATATTGTAAGATGGAAGAGTAAACAATGAAAATGAACACATTACTGCCACATGCAATAATGTATGAATCTTAAAAATGTTGAGTGAAACAAGACACAAAAGAATTCATGATACATGATAAAAAAATACATAAAGTTTAAAGACATGCAAAGACTACTTCATGACATTTTAAGCCAGGTACATGGTAATCTTTGGGGAAGTAACAACTGTTTTTTATTCCAGAGCCTAAGGAAAAATATATTTCATATTTTCCTTCTTTTATAGAAACTGACATTATGACCATTCTATCTTGGTCTTCATGTATTATGTAAGTACTTTTTAAAAAAATAAACTGAGTCAACAGAACTTGAAAACTTAAAATTTAGCTTCATTTCTGATAGAATTTAATAACAAATGATCATACCCATTACATATGCTAGTAAACAGTAGTTATGTAGTTGGTACTTTAACTATTATTACATTTGTGATTAAAATTACCTTTTTAAAATGTTTTAGCATGCTGTTTTTTAAACTAAAGTTTTACAATAACTTGGGGAGGCTTTACAAAGAAGTCACATCATTTATTGCATTTCTATGTTTTCTCCCTTGTGAGTTCTCTGATGCACAATGAGGTTTCTCTTATAACTGAAGGACTTACCACACTCATTACAAATATAGGGCTTTTCCCCTGTGTGAGTTCTCTGATGTACAATGAGATTTGTCTTCTGGCGGAAGCACTTCCCACATTCATTACATTTATATGGTTTCTCTCCTGTATGAGTTCTTTGATGGTGAATGAGATATGACTTCCTGCTAAAGGCTTTCCCACACTGAGGGCATTCATAAGATTTCTGTCCTGTATGTATTTTCTGATGTACAGTCAGAGTTGCTTTCTGGCGAAAGGACTTCCCACATTCATTACAAATATAGGGTTTCTCCCCTGTATGAATTCTCTGATGTAGATTCAGATTTGTCTTCTGACTGAAGGACTTCCCACATTCATTACATTCATATGGTTTCTCTCCAGTGTGAGTTCTGTGATGATCAATGAGGTATGACTTCATTCTAAAGGCCTTCCCACAGTGAGGACATTCATAGGATTTTTCCCCTGTATGTGTTCTCTGATGTGCCACAAGGGTTGTCTTCTGGCGAAAGGACTTCCCACATTCATTACAAATATATGGTTTCTCCTCATTATGAGTCTTCTCATGAAGAGCGAGGGTTGTCTTCTGGGAGAAAGATTTTCCACATTCATTACATATATAGGGCTTTTCCCCTGTGTGAGTCCTCTGATGTACAGTAAGGTTTGCCTTCTGATGAAAGGACTTCCCACATTCTTTACAAATATAGGGTTTCTCTCCTGTATGAATTCTCTGATGTAAAGAGAGTGTTGTCTTCTGGCGGAAGGACTTACCACAGTCATTACACTCATAAGGTTTCTCTCCTGTATGAGTTCTCTGATGACGAATGAGGTGTGACTTCAATCTGAAGGCATTCCTACACTGTGGACATTCATATGATTTCTCCCCTGTATGTGTTCTCTGATGATCAGTGAGGGCTGTCTTTAGGCGAAAAGACTTTCCACATTCGTTACAAACAAAGGGTTTTTCTCCTGTGTGAGTTCTCTGATGGTCAATGAGATAAGACTTCCTTCTAAATGAATTTCCACACTGATGACACTGATAGGGTTTTTCCTCTGTGTGAATTCCCTGATGCAGAATCAATACTGACTTCCTGCAGAAGGACTTCCCACATTCAGTGCATGTATGTTTTTTTTCAATATTGGTTGCTCTTCTCCTTTTATTATATTCAGATGGGTTTTCCCTTCTGTAAGCTCTATTATGTGTAATTAATCCTCCCTTTTTAAGGAAGGCTTTCTCACAGTCATTATATCCAAATGACTGTGCTGGAGTTTCCACCTTATGGTACTGCATAAGTACTTCGTTATGACTAACAGCCTTGCCACGTTGATTATGGGATTTGACTCCAGGTTGAGCTGTCTCTGCTTTAGTATTAAGGAGTGATTTCCCATATCCATGATACTCACTAAGTCTTTTTCTTGCAGGACTTAGATTACTGATGATTAATTCTGAAACATTTTTAAAAATTTTTCCATGAGTGTCATATTCAGGAGGTAGATTTTTTGAATTAATAGGGTTTTTGCTTAAAGTAAATGTCTTTTCATATGCATTACTGTTTTCCTTAATCAGTTTTTTGTGGTTGATGAATACAACTGATCTAGAAAACTTATCTTGGTGTTCCTTGAATTTCACTAAAAAGTCTTCCTCTTTCCAATTTTCTTCTACAAAAGAAAATAGTTAATAACAATTTGCAAATCTTCACATTTTTGTTATGGAAAGATCTAGCATATGAGATCAAGAAAGACCCCATGACAAATTACTTTTGGAAAAAGACATAAAACCTAAATAAAAACTATGCCTCGGTGTGGAAAAAAATAAAAAAATTAAGCAATGTACATTAGTAACTTTTGCACTCTCAGTGAGTACAAAGTCCAATGCAGGGTTTGATCTCAGGACCTTGAGATCATAACCTGAGCCAAAATCAAGAGTCAGACTCTCAACCAACTGAGCCACCCAGGTGCCCCTAGAAGGACTAGGCTCTTATCCTCCATATAGCGGGGAATCATTTTCTCTTAGAAGAGCTGAGAAAATACTTCCAATAGGAACTATAAAACTGACTAGGGGTATATTTACTGGCATGTTCATATTGCTATTATCCTTTCAGGATGGTTTAATAACAAAAATCTCATGATCATCAATTATAACTATTCCTCTTTGCAGACTTATTTTTTCAGGTTTAAAGAAAGACTGCTGCAAGTCTTTCCCTGATATAGTAAATTATCTTAACTCCAGTTTTCCATATGTTAGACAAGATTAGATTGTTTATTCTCATTCTAAATCGTTAACTTTAACCTTCATTTCTTTTATAATTTTGTAGCTATATTTGACTTCTGTTACTTTGCAATCATCCACATTCAGTAGAACAATGTTAAACCTTGGTTTTTTTTCTTCAGTCCATTACCATCAACACCAACATACAAGGAACCTCTGTAAACAAGACTTTAAATCACCTAGATTCACTTTTTATATCCAAACACATTTTCAGAATTGTCCACATATCTGCCAAATCTCACACATAACAACAGTAAGGTCTTGTATTTATTGCATTATAAGTATCTCACTCTTTTTTTTTTTTTTTAAGATTTTATTATTTATTTGACAGAGATCACAAGTAGGCAGAGAGGCAGGCAGAGAGAAACAGAGAAGCAGGCTCCCTGGCTGAGCAGAGAGCCCTACATGGGACTCGATCCCAGGATCCTGGGATCATGACCTGAGCCAAAAGCAGAGGCTTTAACCCACTGAGCCACCCAGGCGCCCCTCTCACTTACTCTTAACACATGCTTTGCTCATGTTCTTTTAATCAGGTGGCTTGCCTTCCGGTCTTATTTCTACTCATATTTAGATAATCTTCAAGAAAATGCTACCATTCAATTATATCAAAATTCCTTCACTTATTCCCCCCCACCACTTTAAGCACTATTTCTTTATAACCTGAAAATAGTCATGGTCTAGGAAAGTCAATTTTAACAAATCTTTTTACAAGCTTAATCAAGTCATAAATATTTTGTGAAAAATGCAGATTTTGGTAGTAATCCTTTTTCATAGAAAAGAATACTTTATTGTTTATCTCCTTTAACTCTTCTGAGTGTATATTAACACTGTGTATCCTACCTATATAGGTAGTGCTTGGCAGAATTCAACCATTTCAAACAGAATCTATACTGTGATGGCCTGAGCAGGTATATCTGAAATGAGCTTACCAGTGTAAGCTTTCTGAATGGAGGAGAACATACCTCTTCTGTATAGCTCCACAGTTAATGAAGTATCTACTGAATAATTAACATGTTTTATACTAGAGTAATAAGAAAGGTTTGAACAGAGGATCTTATCCTCTTAAGGAAAGAATCCTTAAACATAAACCACTTATAATCAGTTATCAAATTATATAACCATATCCAAGAGTTGTGGTTTAGTTAGTTGGTAGCACGGGAATTCAAAAGAGGATGTGGTGTCATTAAGAAACAGTGTATGGAGAAAAAAAAATCTCAGGACTTAAGATAGATAGTATATGAAAGGTAAAACAGAACACAATGAAAAGGACATCTTGACAAATCATAGATGTGTAGAGAACACTGAGGAGACTGGATCAAGTGGAAATTATCAAGTTTTCCACAAGGGAGAAAAGTAAAGTTGAAAAGACAAAATGAAGGCTTATTTTAGTAGTCCTTGAATGAGAATTTCAATTTCATATAATAATAGGGAATAGTAAATTAAAAGAGTTAAGACAAAATTATAGCAAAGCCAAGATGTAATTATTGTAGTCAAGACATGAAGTAAGGTAACATCATTTTGTATGACATCAGTCAAAAATGAAAATATGGGAAGATGTCTATCTTACAGGCTGATAAACATAATACAAATTGTGAAGAGATTCACAAGAGATGATGATAGAGACAGAAAAAGCTGCTATCGATGGTAGAAATAAAATAATTTAGAAATAGATAATGAGAAAGAATTTAAAAGCTAGGAAAGTTCATGATTTTCATTTCAACATATTGTCACAAAACAGGTGAAACATCAGAGTGCCGAACTCCTAAAATACTACCGTGAGGGTGGGAGAAATGTGCTGAGTATCTCAGTGTTAAAGACATCTTCATAAAGAGCTTTAGTCCTCACAATGGATGAGATTACTATAATTTAAAGGCAGATCCCTTGAGGTCAAATTGGAGAAATAAGACTGAGAGTACTGTGAAAAAATATACATTTAAAAATATATGTATCAGTGACAATTATATGCCAGGTATTGTTCCAGGAAATATGGCTAGTAATGAAGAAAAGAGGCCAAGTTGGAAATAATCACTAAGGGAATCAGGATAAGAATAAGTTAATGTTTTACCCACACTAAGGGCTGACTTCAGGAATGATGATCAGCCATATAAAATGAACCACAGAAGTTTACTGGAAGAAATGATAACTGTGGAATTATCGATCTGGGCCAAGGCAAATAAGTTTTAAAAGCAATAGCTAGATTTGTGGTGAGAAGGGGAGGTTATTTGACTTAGCACAGAAAACAAATCTGAGGTACTAAAAAGAAAAAGAAAAAAATGGAAAGCAATGAGAAGAAAAACATTAGCCAAGAATATTCTGTTCTTTAAAAATAGATTTAAGGGGCACCTGGGTGGCTCAATTGTTAAGCATCTGCCTTCAGCTCAAGTCATGATCCCAGAGTCTTGGGATCGAGCCCCAAATCAGGCTCCCGGCTCAGTGGGAAGCCTGCTTCTCCCTCTCCCACTTCCCCTGCCTTTGTTCCCTCTCTCGTTGTCTCTGTCAAATAAATAAAACCTTAAAAAAAAAAATAGATTTAAGAATGCCTAAAAGAGGGGCGCCTGGGTGGCTCAATGGGTTAAAGCCTCTGCCTTCAGCTCAGGTCATGATCCCAGGGTCCTGGGATCGAGCCCTGCATCGGGCTCTCTGCTCAGCAGGGAGCTTGCTTTCCTCTCTCTCTCTGCTGCCTCTCTGCCTACTTGTGATCTCTGTCTGTAAAATAAATAAATAAAATCTTAAAAAAAAAAAAAAAGAATGCCTAAAAGAAATATATGCAATGGTAAGAAGATAAAGAACTGAGAAGGCTAGAAAAAGACACGAATCTCGAAAAAAGATCTACAGGAAGGCTTATAGTACATTTTGACTGAGTGGCAACTATCCTTGATAACATCAAGCAAACTAGAAAGAATATTATATTGGGAAAGTGATATTTGAAAGTTTAAGTTTTGCAGGCATGATAATCATTTAAAAGATTAGAAGCCTTTAAAAAGACAAAATATTTCAAAGGTGCCACCCACCATGTGACCATTTTAAAATTTATTCTCCACTAGATTTCATCCACCTGAAGAGTGAGAAACTCACCTAAGCAAGTATGACCTGTAAATGATGTCCACGGCTCTTCTCCTCGTTCCAACTTGAGGATCACATCAGGTTTGGTCATGTGACACCCTGATTAAAAAAAATTTGGATTAAGTTGCTTAGGTTTAATGCACTTGAAAAATTATTACAGGGGCACCTGGGTGGCTCAGTGGGTTAAAGCCTCTGCCTTCGGCTCAGGTCATGATCTCAGGGTCTTGGGATCGAGCCCCACATCCAGCTCTCTGCTCAGCAGGGAGCCTGCTTTCCCCTCTCTCTCTGCCTGCCTCTCTGCCTACTTGTGATCTCTGTCAAATAAATAAATAAAATTTAAAAAAAATTATTACAGTACATTTTCAGTACTGCAAATTAAGGTACTTCTTTATGTAAGAGAAAACTTAACATCTTGCTCTGGGTGAGTACACAGTTATCCTTTCTGTTAACAAATAATTCATCACCTCTTAAGCCTGAAATTCAATGCATAATTCAGGCCCTTTGAAAGGAAATGTATGCTACTGAAAGTTTCAAAGAGAGTTCTTCTTACCCACAGAGATGAGATGGCAATAGTTTTCCAACATCACATCCATGTACAGAGTCTTCTGAGCGGGATCTAGGTGCTGCCACTCCTCCCGAGTAAAGTCCACAGTCACATCTTTGAATGACACTGATGCCTGCAATGGATTGGAACTATGATCAGAGTAAGCTGACCAGATATTGTGGACTACTTTTGATCCTGCTCCTTTGGGGCATTCATATGAATATAAAGAAAGTCAATCATTTTTATTTT